CTCTAAATTATTTCACCATGTCGCATCGTTTTTCAACACAAAAGAGACCGGCTGTCAACACATTGACATTAAAATTATATTTAATTACTAATTATAACAGCTTGCTGCCGATAAATAAAGAATGTTTATATAATATGTATTAAATTTCCTATGCCTTACTTCGTTTTTAATATGATATATAAAATGGTAGCTATCGACATCTCTGATACATGTCTATTATCTTATCCTCAAGCTTGAATATCAAATGCTATTTACCTTAGCCACTGTCTGCGATTGTTAAAGAATTCTATAACTTTCAATGGGTCAGGTGTCTTGGTTAAGGACCAAAGAGATAATTGGAAATGACGGATTTAAGTACCCGTTAAATTGAAGTGGGTAACAATAACAAAAACAACAACAACCACAACTCGTTTGCTGCCTGAAGCGTGACGTGGCGCAAGTTGGCTCAAAAAATCGCACACACGCACATATTGACTGCCTGTGGGTCTGTGCAGGAGTGTCAGTGTGTGTGTGTTTGTCTTTGGTTTATATTTAATGCGCCGTTCAATCAATTTCTTTATTTTCCCCAACGCCATCTTTTCAACACACCCTCTTGATTCTTTGCAAATAGTGTCGCTTGCATTGCAAGTGAAGCAGCTCGACGAATCGAGTCGCGTCATTATCCTTTCACGCAAACAAAATGTTGCTGCGTGCCAGGATCTCAGGCGAATATTGTGCGGCGGTCCTTTTGTTGCTTGCAGCATCCTGTGACCAACTCAATCTTTGCATTTGCCTTGACGTACACTTTTGCTTATTTATTTATTTATTTATATTTATTGTCATGCTTGTTTATTGTTTTGCCTTTGATTGGCTTCCACTGCGAATTTGGTTTGGGCTTTGGCCACGGGTTTTGGTATTGGTTTTGGGCACTGGCTTTGGATACCTAGGTTTCTTTGCGGTAATTGGGTATCTGCATACTAAACAGTTTTATAACTTATCTAAGCTTAAGCTTAGATTAAGCTAAGAACAAAACATTTTACAATTTTGAAAATTGATAAAATATTTTAAAATCGAAAAGCTCTATATTGTTAATTAAATCCTATGAAAAAGTAATAGGATAAATATAAATATTATAGTAAAATATAAATTCATAAAGTCAATATATTCAATGGATAAAAGCATGATTCATTTCATTTTAAAAAATTTTAAAAAATTATATAAATTAAAATATATTAATGCTTTTATTTGTATATGTCTATATCTCTTATTGTTTTTTATCCTCATATGAACATGGCATATAATTTGTACTTTATAGAGTATTTCTAAATCATATAAGTATTAGAAAAAGCTCAACTCAAGCTGCCGACTGTCCCTTTGCAAATTCTGCTGGCTCATGTTCTTCCCTTATCCCATGTTGCTTCTCATTTTTTTCTCTCTTTATTTTCCTCCTTTTGATGCTTGTATTTTGTATTGCCTGGTTGAAATCCCTCTTATTGCCGCATAGATTTATGGTTTTATGCTTAAATGATTGTTTGCTTTGGAGGGTAAAAACGTCCATAAAGAAGAAGAAGAACGCCCATATCAAATGCAAATGTGATAATCAAGTTATAAATTTAAATTAAAAACCATAAATTTGCGAGTGAGTGCGTGTGAATCATTTTTTAGAGTGTAGCTGGAGAGTTTCCTTTACATATATTCGAAAAGTGCTGCCCTCATATGTCGATATATATATGGTATATATATGCAGAGATATTTATTGCCGGAAATCACATATTTCCGTTTGGTTTTTGGGTCTACTGCCACACGACAGGCCATTAATGAGCACCACAATTAAATTTCATTCTCCAAAGTGACATAAAATGAGGTAAAATAAAAAAACAAAGGAAAATACATAAATGTATGCAAAATATTAAAACAGCAAATCCCTTTATTGTGTGTGCGGCTCTGTGTGTGTGTGTGTGTGTGTGTGTGTTGCCTTTAATATCCAGGCATAATATAAAACATCCTGTTGCCGGTTAACAGCCAGCTGCCGGCCTGCCTGCTTGATTGTTGTTGTTGTTGTTGCCATAAATAACCCAGAAAAAGGTGTAGATTCAGGCGAGTGTGTAAATTGTGTGTGTGACTGGCTTAAATTTGCTGCGTTATTTGCGTCATTTCCGCAGCAAATCAACACGAAAATACCAAGGACAACACACACACACACACACACACACACAAAATTCAACAAAAGTCCCGAAGGCAACAAAAAGCATATATGTAGATTTTAAATGGAATTTATGAACATATCTATAAAAGCGTGTGAATCCCTGTGTTGGTGCGTGCTAGTGTGTGTATGTGTGTGTATGGGTTTAATCAGCCAATCAATTTCATATACATATTTTAACACTTGAATGCACTCTAAAGAATCAAATTCCATGCCGCTTCAATAGCCTCCAAGCTACATATTATTTCACGAAAATCACAACAATAGATTGATTATGCAAAATAGTTTTTGCCTATTCTGAACCATTTAATTCTTTTTGTTCCAAAGTTCCAGTTCCAAATATTTGACAGTAAAGTATAGAGATATAAATAAAAAAAAAAATACAAAAGAAAAATTAATTATCACAGAATTAAAGAAATCAGCCCAAAACAATATTTTAATGAAGTTCGAAGCCAAAATAAAAATAAAAAATTGGACACTAGAGTTTAAATCAATTTTGGCGATAAATTTGAAATATTATTCAACGACATTAAACTTTTAAGATAATATTATTAAACATAATAAAACAATATTATGCTGTGCTAAATATTTATATAATATTTTGTTGTCTTCTTAATGAAACATATGAAATATTACAATCAAATAAAAATTACAAAATAAATTTATATGAAATATTTAAATTTCCGGCAAATTTATTCAAAATATATATACTTCCTTTTGACCTTTTGACCATGAAAGTAATATCTTCTTTTTGTCCTCTAAATAAAATTGTAAATTTACATTAAAATAAATATAACAAAATAATATATGTTAAGTATTAAGATTCAGATGGCATTTATTCCGACTACTTATACCACTTTTTGACCTCTATTCACGACAATCACAAGAACCTTAAGAATGATTAATAAACCAAATTTCTGCGAAAATATTTGCTTTAAAAGGTGCAAAGCCGCCAACAAATGAACGTTGGCTGTAATAACAGTTGCCATTCAAAAACAACAATAACAAGCTATAACAATAGTATGGCGACGCATTGCTGCAATTTTTCCTGCCCATTTTCATGCTCGTTGCCTTCAACCCGGCCGCCGGTGCCACCATTCGCGGTAATGCATTAACTTCTGCTTCGATAAATAAACAAGTTGAGCTACTTAAGATTTAAGTTGCAGTTGTTGTTGTTTTTGCTGTTGCTGTTGCTGCTGCTGTCGTTGTTGTTGTTGTTGTCGAACGAGCGTCGAGTTGTAAGTGTGCACAAATTTATAGTGGGTACTTTTTAACTGGCATTCGCTGCCCCTGTCATCTCCTCGCTGCCCCTGCATATTGCTACAAAATGCACATTACGTATACGCTACGTATGCGCATTTCAGGCATGAAACTCTTATGCACAATGAACAGCAGCGACAGCGGCTTCGACGTCGACGTCGCGGTTGACGGTTTGTGCGTGAAATAATAAATATATATAATAGTTTATGTTAAATTAAATTGAATGCAGAAATGCGAAAATTTAAAAAAATTGCTCAAATGTTTTGCGCCTTGTTAGTTACGAAATGGGCTGCTTCAGCTGTCGGAGGCCGCCGACAATTTAAGATGTATCTTAAAGTGTGCTCTTAACTCTAATTCTCACATACTCGCACATGCCACGCCCCTTTGGCAGGCCCATTTGACTGGCTGGTTGTCTGGCAAAGTGCAGCCATAAATATGTTAACGTTCGATATGTTTCGGCAGGCGGCCGCTTGGAAAGCCAGCTGCAACTAACCAGGCTAAGTGGCTGCACTCAAAATGTTGCCAAATGCGCCACGCCCCCGCCCCACACTTCTAATATGCCACTTGCTGCAGCTCATATGTGCCTGTGTGTATCCATCAACTCGCCCTCATAGCCGAGAGCAACAAAATTGTGTGTATAAATTGAAATCACTTAAGTAACTCGATGCCAGCCGACTTTGGCAACTCCCCCAACTCTCTACAAACTCTGGCTGTCTGTCTACTCTCTGTCGGTGGCATCAATTTTTCAGTAATGTCATTTACACTAAGATCAATTTAATGCCAGCTTGGGAGTCGCAAATGTGACTATGCTTGGAGTGTATAATTGTAACGAAAGGCACCAAAGAGAATCCTTATAATATTGTGCTTATCAATTTTAAAATGCTGTCTTAAATAATGCAATTGTTGAGTTATAAAGATGTAGCTCTTCTGAATAAAATAAGTTATTTTTTTGATATACCAAACAATAAACTACAGTGTTTACTTTCAAGTCCCAGTACGACCTAAAGTTCAGCTCTAGTTAAACGCAAATATTCCTAGAAATATTTAAAATAATTATTTGAATTTTATTTAGACTTCAGCTTGGTGTTAGAAGTTGACTTTTATGCACCAATATTTATTATTTATGTTTGTTTTGAGTTCGTGACTTGAGCTAAATATTTAACAATGCCAAAAGCTTCGGCAATATGTCCAGAAGTCATAGAATTATCAAAACATATTACATGTTCAAAATAAAAACCAAAATAACAAAAAATATGGGAATAAAAACAAACAAGCTTTGATACGCAGAAACAAACGAGAACAAACTTGGGCATAACAATTTGCTTTGCATAATAATTGGGCGGACGATGTGGCAAAGATGGAAATGTGGGGACATGTTGTGGGGACATGTTGTGGGCTTGGCAGTGTGTTTTTCAGGGAATGCATTTTCATTTCGCTTTCCAGACACGTGCCAGCGGCGTAAACAACAAAGAAACGAAATACCAACAGCACTAAAATATGAAGAAATGTCGAGGCCAGCTAGCTTAAATCGTTCACAATTAAAAGGAGTAGTAAGATCTGATATATACATGAATTACTGCAGTTTATTAAGCTTGCGCGCTATAAATACTCTTAGCCGGTAGACTCCATACTGTAAAGTCGAACAGCCAATCAAGAGAAGCATTGTCATGGCAATGGTTCTAATGGCTCTCCCCGGTTTTCTATAGTCTAACATCGGATAAATGTAGGCGTGACCACGTCTGCAATAGTAAAGATAAAAGATAAATTTAAACATACTCATATATTTATATGCTTACGGATCCCGGCAACCAAGTAAATAGAAGACCCAGGAAAATGCTACATAACCAATCGAGAATCCCAGCGGGTAAATAAAATGCATAATACGCGCCGGATGCGCCACCACCATATGATCTACTGTGAAGAACAACGGGGGCAACGCATGAGTCCATATATTATCCAAGGTGCTTAGCCGCATGGGATTATCGTGCGTTCTATCGCTGGGATAAATGAGACTCCAGTAGAGAATACTTATGATATGTGCAACTATCAAATTTATCCAATATAAAGCCCAATAACATTTAACCAAACAGGTGCGACGCACTTGGAGAAGTAGATAAAATTAGAAAAGGGTTAGTAAGAAAGTTAGTAAAATATATGAAAATATATAGATAATAAAATATATAATATTATAAACAGAAACTATTTTCTTTAAGGAATATAAAAGACATGCATGCATAACCCATGTACTTTTCTTTGCAATTAATTGAAACTTAGAAGTTCCCACTCAGCCCGAGCAAAGGAGAGGCTGCAAACTTTAGACTAAAATTTAAATAAATTCCAAATGAGAATTATTTAAAGTGCATGCACATATGTTTGTATAGCTAAAGGAAATGAAATACGCATTTAATACTTACTCATTCTTTCCGGATTAATGTGATATATGCTCACAAGAATTGCACCAGTTATGCTAGTTAGCGAACACAGAAGAAAACCCCAGTTGGTCAGGTAGATAAACCAATAACCTTTATAATAATAGAGTACTAGATTGGTGACCAAACCAGAGCCAAAGAAGGCGGCCAAGCACCAGCGATAGATAAGAAACCCACACGACTTCAGTTCCGATTGCCACTGGTAAATGGATAGTTTAGACTAGATGAAAGATTCTTTTGATGCTGATCTTTTACTTACTTGAGATCTATGAAAGTCCTCGGGTGAATGATGTTTCAGGCCACATTGCTGACCCTGAAACTGCTGTCTAAAACTGATCGGTTCCTGACGAAGTGCTGCCAATTCGGCTTTCTCTTGTTTGGCGTCAGTCATTTATATATAATTCCTTTGAATTTATATTTTAGGAATCAAAAGTAACTACTAAAAATTTTAATCAATTTGAAGGCAATGCCAAAGGCAAAACAGGAGCTTTAAGTAAAACGCTTAAAATTAAGTGGCATTCACATACTTTGTACCTCTCTTAGCCGGTTGCCAGGCTTCTTATCTGCGTTGCATAATTAACAGTTACATGATTGTGGGCCTGGCGCTGGGACTGAGCCTGGGCCATGTTGTGGTCCCGGTCTGGGCCGCCAGCCTGATGCGTTGTGCGGCAAATTACGACATGTGCCTGACATCATTTCCCTTTCCACTTTATACTCCCCGCACATGCTCGCCTTGCTCCTCACCATGCCGAAGATCCCCCGGCGACGACATCCTTTTGAGCCAAGCAGACAGTTTTAATTGAGAGACACTTGGCTGAGTTGTAGCGCGCAATTAAAATGCCATTACATATAAAAACAAAGCTCAAGACCAGGCACTGTGTGGCAAATGCAACTACTGCAAATTTTTTCACTATGAAAAAAAAAATTGTGATGATATTTTGAGAGCTTTTCAATTGTGTGCAATATTCTTCAATTTTCCACCCATTCTCCCTATGTTATATTTTGATTTGATATGTAACGTATGTATTCGTTGTTAAATAATAATAATTTACTTCTTTCCTAGAAATATTATGATTTTAACAGGAAAAATGTAAGGAAAAAACATTTTATTTCTTTTGTGTAACGTGATGCCCAAAGTTCAGTTTGAATGGACTAATATTATATGTATATAAATTAATATATTAAATAGGTATATTAAATCATAATATACAATAATATATAATTAAAATAAAAAAATAATCATATATAAAATATTTTATTTTAAATTTATTTAGATATATTTTTTTTAAATGTTTTACATTTTACTGACTAACAAATTGGGTTTGAACATTTCCATTACCTATTTGATATTTATTTATTCATTTCTAAACAATTGTATGGCCAGCCTTGCCCCACTGCTCAGCATCTTTGTAATTTGTGAAGCAAGGATTTGTGTGTACGTGTGTGTGCTTCAGCAGGCAGCGTGACGCGTCGGTTAGGTGCGTGCAGTTGAAACGGCAATTCTGGGGCTGCCTTTCGGCCATGCAACCATTTCCTACCAGTTTGCCTTGCAGCAGCACAACCTACTCCGTTGTGATTTACTTGGACTGCGAATATCTCAATTTGTGTGTCCCACACTCTGCCACGATGGCAACTATGCTTTGTCAGCGCTGCCAACTTTTTTGCATACATTTTGTTGCCCTTTTTTTCGTTTTTTTTCTTTTGGCTTGCACAAATCACGCAGTTCTATCAAAATCACATGTAACGACCACGCCCACATCCACCTGCGGGCATTAGAAATGCAAATTTAGTGTAAAAAGTTCACCCTGCCAACGCGTTTCATTCCCTCCACCCTCTGTCTATCTAGCTATCTATCTACCTTTCCTCGCCCGTTCTGCTCCATTTTTGTGTGTTAGTTTATTTTTGTGGCATTCCAATTGATTTGCTGATTTGCGCATCAATCAAAGAAAATTTGCGCTCCAAGTTTGCTTTCATGTGGCCCATTGTTTGGGGTTTCCTTTGGATTTACCGTCATCGCATTGTTTATAGAGTTATGGGGTAGGGGAAAAATGGATCGGGACATGACTTGACGTACATTTTGTGTGGCTTTACATTGAATTTTGTTGTTTGTTTTTGTATTGTAGGGGTATCGGGTACGAAATTTCAAAGCCCTGTCAATTATGTGACAGAAAGGAAATCAATGGCAGTTACTGTGCTATGTCTTCCATAGATGTCGATCGGATTAAGCCGAGCCCTTTTTACATTGCGGCTCAGAGTCTAGTAATTATGAGCGTTTATCTTTTTGTGTTGCACGTTTAGTAAAAGAAGGAAAAGGTAACAGATAGGGTTTATTTATAAAAGGTTTAAAATATGCAATTTTTTTGTTGATTCCCCTAACATACACAGTCTCAATTATTTGTCAGTTAACATTGTTCAATTTATTTAATAGTCGACAAAACGAGTGTCTTCCTAATTATTCAGTACATCATTGTACAAATTAAATGCTGAAAGGCTAATTAGAATACACAGTTTTCTAATAGCATCACCTATGGCACTGATGGAGGTGTTTTATTTGCCCGTCCGGCCAGCTATGCCCCTTTTCACATCTAATTTTGTCAGTGACGCTATTAGAGCATACGTCTAAAAAAAAGGGTATTAGTAGAGAAAAAAGTGCTCTTAAGTAAATACTAAAAATAATCTTAAATTAATATATATTTTTTAAGAAAATACAATAAATAGGAAAAATGATAGAAAGAAGTAATTAATAAAGTAAAGAAATTTATATTAAATAATATTATTTTTTTTAATTACTTCTTGTTACTGGCTCACATATATTTAAAATCATTATTTTAATATAATTTCCTTTTTATGATATATTTTATTTGTGTTCAGTTACGATTTCTTGAATAATTAGACTTCTCAATTGTGCTGATCGTCTTGATATAGCTCTTCCCTTAGTCAATTCAACTGTATATCATTTATTTGTTTAATATTTCTATTGCAGTTACTATAATAATCAATATTATGTTTTAATATAATTTAATTTTTTAATATATAATAAATTTCTATATATAATTATAAATTTAATTCAGTTTAGATTCTTTTAATTTTCTACTATGTAATTGTATTAAATGTGCACTGTTATTATATATTCTTGATTGCCTACATTGTTATAAAATTAGATATTCTCTTTCAGACATTCTTTTTTTTTCTCAAACGAATTAAATTCTTGTGCTGAGTGAATTCCTGAGCGCTTATGCTTTCAATTCCATTGGCCTAGCCCCCAACAATGGCGGCCAATAATGATTTGTAATCTGTGCCAGTTGCGAGGTACACAGGACACAGCGGTTCGAGGACATTGGACATGTCTGGCATGCCGCCCACGAGCTGGGCACAGAATTCAATTTTGCAAAAGAAGCGGGGCACATTGGCATGCAGGTCGCAAACGTCATCATCGTCGACATCATTGTCAGCTCTTTGGCATTTTGCCATCAAATTGGCAGATTGGCGGCTTTAAAGTGCGTGCCATGCCGTTTCGTGCAGCTAACTCAAGGGTTAAGTGTGTAAATGTAAGCCAGTTGAGCGCCATTTTGGCCTTATCGCAATTTACCAAGCGCTTCCTTTAACACACCTATATAGTCGTGGTAGACCAAGGAGTCGAGGGTTACTTTGAAAGCAAAGGTAACTTTCCCCCCGAGTCCCGCGAGTCTCTCACGTGTCATTATCTTAATTTAAGGCAGCCAGGAACCAGAAACAGAACACAGACCTAACTACCCCACCCAGTCAGTTGGTGCAACTCGCACCGATAGAAGCTTCTTTCAACTCCCATATCTCTTACTTGAATACACAATTATGTGGTTCACAGTGGGTGTGCATAGGTGGTTGGGTGGATTGTGTGGGTGTGTGTGAATATGTACGGTGTGCGGGTAAAAATTAAATTTCTCATGCTAAGAGACGGCGATATCGTCGCTCATCATTATACAGTCAGGCATGGTCCGTGGCTTGTTACTATGCATGGCTATATCACGACTTCAGATTCGTCTCGTATGCTCTGACCTGGCAGGGTGATTCTATTTTGTGAAAGAGTTTGTCCTTGAACAGCTGTGTTGTTGGGAGCTAAAAGAGTCTTTAAAGGTATATATTAAATAGATGTAAATCAATATCAAGTATCAAGTATATATCTAAGTATCAAATATTTATTTAATTTAATCATTGTCAAATATTATAATTTACAATAATTATTAACAACTCGCCATTATTTGGATCTATAAGTTTATATTATTTATTAATTTATTCTTCATTGGGCATTTTTAATGGATTCTCTTACATAACACCTCCATTCCTATATGTGTATGTGTGCAAGTGTATTCCGGTTTCGGCTTGCTTGTTAAGCTAAAATTGACGCTCTTGTTTTTACTTTGTTATTAGACTCGTGGGAGTTCCCGCATGCAATTTGCAATCTTTCCAAGAGCGTGTGCTATGACAGTTTTTGTATAAGTATATTTATCAAATGAAAACATAAATACATGAGAGCATACCATCTAGAATCTGTGTGTGGGTGTATGTGACTTGTTAATGTGTGTGTATGTGTATCAGTGGGTGGGGTGTGTGTGTGAGTGTGTGAGTGTGTGTGTGGGGCGTAATGAGGCCTGTGCTGCTGGCGCTGGATGTGTGCGTAGAATATCAACATTTTATTGCACATGAATTTCAAATTTCCAACTCGCACAGTTTACACATGAAATCAACAAACTGTGACAGTTGATGTGTCCAATACACACACACACACCAACACCCACACACACACATCCATATAGTATGTGTATTCTGCACATGTCCTGATATTATTGCATTTGCAGTGCCGAGCTGTCAAAATCTGCTCGCAAAATGTGCAAATGAATGCAATTTAAAGTTTTTTTTTCCCCAAAACAAAGACTCAAAATAATAAAATAAAAATCGAACCAGTGAGAGACTTTTAAAATACATATGCCACAGCGGCATATTGAAAACTCGTTATTGTTTGGTAATTTGCAAAGAGAAAAGCGTCAAAAAGAAGAAAAAACAATCGAGAGCATGCCTAAACACAATTATTATTCTTTTCTAGTGTTTCCAATTAAATTTGATTTTAAAAATATATCTAGAAAAATATTGAATAAATTCTGCAACTAAAATCCAATACGAATCTTTTTGGGTAGCAGATTTATATGCACTTTTGTGCATACTTTTTGACATTTCGACTTAAGTTTTTTCTGGTTTCGGTCAGAACAAAACCAAGCTCACGCTATAGAACTTTGTTTTTTGTGTGTGCTTTAAGATTGATCTTTTAATTTTATTTTATTTTTGATAAGCAGTATTTTTAAGCATTTAATTTTGCTATGTTAAGCTAATTTCAGAATCTTCCCCTGGAAATGGTTTTAAAAAGTTAAATTATAAATTAAGCTTTTTGTTTCTTCTGCAAGCGAATTAAATCAGTGCGATTGAAACTG